TTAACATGGCTGGGGAAATTGTTTATTGAGATGATGTAGCAAGTAAATGTTGAGGTCAAAGTGTTTGACTACAGCTAGCTGAGTCTTTTAGCTGGTAGGCAAGTAGCTGTTCTTTTCAGACGTACTTAATGTTCTACAACATCTGGCACATCTTTGGTCTGGCTTTGACTGGAAAATGTCCCAGGGCAAAGCTCCAAATTGTGGGCTCTTAAAAGTAATACAATGTACAGATCCTCCTCCTTTTGTCTCCCCTGAACTCCAGTGTGCGGCCCACGTGTTATTTGTATTTTATGGTTCAGGTGCCCTTATACATTGTATTAACTCTTGCACAAAAAGAGCAATTATATTCCAAAGATATGTGCCAGTATCATGCTTTCCCCTGCCTTGGGAGGGCAGCTAAGTAGCTCTTTTGCAGCTGTCTCTAGCTATTACTTTACATGTTCCCTCCAATTTGTTTTCAGGCTGCCCTGAAAACCAAGAGATCTTTACTAGTAATGCTGTGGTTAGATCTGGTACTCATAGGTCTGGTACAGGCCATATCAGTGCATTTGAAGAGGTGGCATAGATATAATTTGTTCATTCAATATCTTGGTGCCCCCAAACTTTGAAAGTGAAATTTTGGCCACATTTGTGTCAATGGAAAAGCTGTTGATTTCAGTGGGGCCAGGAGTCCACCCCAGTATTCATGGTGCATAGGAACTGGGCATTATTTTAGGGTTCTACCTAGGGTGGGTGCCAAGGCTTGGCTGGAACAAAACAAGTATTGATCTGCAGGAATGTAATAATTTCAGCAATTCTTACACGCTGCTGATGAGTTTCAGAAAACAGTACTTAGGTGGGGCTGGTAGAACAACTACCTATGATTAAGGTTGCACAATGTTTCCCATTACTAGACCTTGCTTTTGTTTGCTTATAATTTTGCCTACATTGGAACTGTTCTGGTTGAAGCTCTCCATGCTAGCTGTCTTCCCCTGCCCAAATATTTGCTGCAAAAATGGTTCAACTATTTCCAAAAATGAAGTCACAGAAAAAATCACAGACTTTGGACTAGGTTGAAAGAAAACCTTGTAAGGCTCTCATGTTGGAGCAAAGGCTTGGAACGTGGTGGATAGGGTTGTCCTGCTACCAGACATGTGACTTTTGCTGTTTTCACGAGGGGGAAAAAAAATCAACCTACGCCCCCCCTAAATCTGGCCAAGTTCAAATGATCTGAAATATCTCAGGTTTCACCTGCTCAGTAGAGACTTCAGTTTGCCAACAAGTATTTTCTGAAGATCCTGGATGTACTGAGCCTGATCCAGCTTGAGGGTGCAGGGGCTGTACTATTGTACTTCCCTGCAGCTCCCAGCTGTCGTGCTCTCTTGTGCTCTCGATACTCCTGCTGTTGGTGCCCAAACATTGTGGAAGAGGAAGCAGCCTGACTCAAATTTAGAGAGGACAAGAATGAGAAGCCATGTAAGGAGGGGATGCGGGGGTTGTAACGGAAATAGTAGACTGGGACAGGGAAGTCTAGAAACAAGTCTGGGAGTGGAGTAGGAGGGACAGAGTAGATGAAGAGCAAAAGAAGAAGACTGGGATTTGGTGGGAAAGAAGACCAGGACAAGAAACCTAATGGGTGGGGAGGATGAGACAAAACAGGACTGGTTAACAGCAGAAGGGATCAGATTTTGGGAGAATAGGAACAGGAGGACAGGATTCTACTAAAGTACGAGTAGAATGGGCCCCCGGATTCAGGAATCTCAACATTGGTCAATAAATGTCTGTGCACAGCCTGTGTCCCCCTTTCTGGTATAGAGAACAGCCTCCCATTGCTGACTGTTACACCCTTAGTTCAAGGGCCAGAGGATGGTGTAGGGGATCAAAAGGTTTCAGACTTGCCGATCCTATCCTAAGTGGTCATTAAGGTTCCACAGGATGACGTTTTCCATTCTTTTTCTGTACTTAAAAACCCCCCAAACTTAGGGAATTGCATACAGCACTAGCGCAAAAACATACGAAGCTCGCAGTCAAGCATACAAGGAGTTAGGAAATCCCGGAATTCCAGTTGCCCATGCAATCTTGATATGGCCTCTTACGTGTATCCATTATTATACTGTATTTAATTACTTGATCACATCCTAGTTTTCCTATCCTATCCCTCCCTGAAACGGCATGGACATAAAACTATTCTCTGTGGCCACAGAGGATAGGACAGGTACAATGGGCTCAAGAGCTTTTTGACTGAGGGTGGTCCAGCGCTGGAACAGATTACCTAGAGCAATTGTGGAATCTCTGTCCCTGGAAATTTTCAAGAGCAGGTTAGACAGACACTTGGCTGGACTGGTTTAGTCAGTCATTTCAGCCTTGAGCAACCGGCTGGACTAGATGTCTGTGAGGTCCCTTCCAGCTCTCCTGTGATCCTTCCTCACTCAGTATACAGGAGAGGCAGCGTCCTGAGAATAAATCAGGGTTGGGTAGTGAAGATGCTTATTGACAGGGCATTTGTCTCAAAGGCTGAAAGATGTGTACTGAACGAGACAGAAAACGGTAATGAGAGAAAAGATGGTTAAGTGCTGCTTTCCTGCAGTAATTAATTCCCCCTTCCATAGACTTCCCCTTCCTTGCTGCTAGGCAAGTCATTTAGACCTAGTGCATCATAGATGACCATTAATCATATGTCTGTATTTTCTGGATGCCTCATACCCACTGGAGTCTGATCTGCCGGAAGGCTAAGCACTCACATCTGCAGATGAAATCAAACCGTATGTCCATGTGCTTTGAATATATGAAGTGCTTCTAATCCAAACACCCTGAAAACCCAGTTTCTAGGCATCTCAGTTCAGACACAGCAGGATCTGTGGACACTTTGAATCTTCATCTCTCTGCCTCAGTCTCCCATCTGTGAAATGGGGTTATTACTGTCCTCTTATCACATGGGGGTGGTAGGGGCAGATCCAGGGGGATGCACTGGTGCACTTGCACCCTCCTTGGATTCCTGCTCCACCCAAAGTTTAAAACCAATTGCCTGGCAGCAGCATTTCTAGCCGGGCTGTGCTGAGGGATGACGGCAACCTCATGTGGGGTTTAGACTATGGATTGTACCCCATGGCTTGGATGGGGATGATTCTGCCTCAGGCATGGGGTCGGACTAGACGACCTCTGCAGCTCCCTTCCAGCCACACTTCTGTAGGCTCCTCCAACTCCGGGGCTCATTATCATCTACCCCAGCGGTTCCCAATCCATCGTACATGCACCTCCACTGGTACGCAGACAACCTGCCAGTGTTATTATGCATTAACAGTTGTATTATAATTACTTTGTATGACAAAAACTTGCTGGTGGTATTTAAGGCTGTATCGTTTTAAATCGGGGGCGTGCAATGTCAGAGTCTGGGAACGAATCCCTGCGAAACCCTTCACCCCGCCGGTGTTAACGACTCTCTCTTCTTTACAACCCTCTCGGCCTTGCTCCAGGCACCCGGCCCTTGGCTCTGCCACGCTGCTCCTGGTAACAAAGCTCCTATTCCGCAGCCCGCCAGATCGATTTTGCTTTTTCACCCACGAAGCTAGATTTGTTCTGGCCTCCTCCCGCAGGCCCCGAGCTGCTCCTAACACAGCCACTTTCTTGTTTGAACATGAGCACGAACGACGCGTGGCCCCGGAGTCAGGGGCAGTGGCGAGCTCCTGCAAGCGGTCGTGGCAGTGGCAGCAAGCGGGGAGCTCTTGCAGGTGGTTGTGGTGGTGGCGAGTGGGTGCATGGCAGTGGCAGCAAGCGGGGAGCTGTTGCAGGTGGTTGTGGTGGTGGCGAGTGGGTGCATGGCAGTGGCAGCAAGCGGGGAGCTGTTGCAGGTGGTTGTGGTGGTGGCGAGTGGGTGCATGGCAGTGGCAGCAAGCGGGGAGCTGTTGCAGGTGGTTGTGGTGGTGGCGAGTGGGTGCATGGCAGTGGCAGCAAGCGGGGAGCTGTTGCAGGTGGTTGTGGTGGTGGCGAGTGGGTGCATGGCAGTGGCAGCAAGCGGGGAGCTGTTGCAGGTGGTTGTGGTGGTGGCGAGTGGGTGCATGGCAGTGGCAGCAAGCGGGGAGCTGTTGCAGGTGGTTGTGGTGGTGGCGAGTGGGTGCATGGCAGTGGCAGCAAGCGGGGAGCTGTTGCAGGTGGTTGTGGTGGTGGCGAGTGGGTGCATGGCAGTGGCAGCAAGCGGGGAGCTGTTGCAGGTGGTTGTGGTGGTGGCGAGTGGGTGCATGGCAGTGGCAGCAAGCGGGGAGCTGTTGCAGGTGGTTGTGGTGGTGGCGAGTGGGTGCATGGCAGTGGCAGCAAGCGGGGAGCTCTTGCAGGTGGTTGTGGTGGC